ATCGATAWCTGACAGAAACATGGCAAGTTTAATTACAAGGAAGAACTTGTTARAGAAGGAGTACCCATTATTCCATTCTCTGACATCACAGTTCAGAAACGACTTGGGAGTGGCCCATTRTCAGGAGTAGCATTATCTGYCACTTTAAATCAAAATGGAAAAACGGTAAATGATTATGATAATATCATTAATATTAATTACTTGATCAAAGATTTGTTTACATATCATCTGTCTTTCAGAAAAGAGTTTGTGTGCGCTACTTACGTWCTCAAGCAAAGATGGAAAGTTTTCTCAATGAAGCTAAAGTAGCATCTAAGCTGATTCATCCCAACATTCTCAAGCTATATGGAGTCATAGTCTTTGGTCCTTATGTCAACTCTATTGCACTGGTACAGATTTTTAATTTTGCAGTAGGCTGTTTAATATTGTTTGTCAAGAAGAAGAAGCATATTTATAGTATGGTGTAATATAAAAACATCAGGGCCAGGTTGTTGGAAGCTCGATTATTGCTAATCCTGGGCTAACTCTTAAATGAGCCTAATGGAGTTAACTGTGGATTAACACTAATTGAGGTTTGAACAACCCACCCCTGACGCAAGAATAAGTCCATGACTGGTGTGGTGTCTGATGGCATTAGGAGGGCATCTAAACCTACTCGTACTTCAAGTGAAAACTACCAAATAAATTATTAACATTTGAGTAGAGGGACAGAATACCAAAATTGCAATGCAAAAATGACTCTGACCTTGTTTTTGGCTATATAACTCATAAGACATTATTGATATAAGTATCTGTTTACAGGTGATGGAGTTTGCCCCTAATGGCAACATTGTGGAGTCATTGAGTTTGGTTTCTGTCAAGAGCTTCTGTAAAATAATACCCCAAATCATTAGTGTCATACAGTTTTTAGACAGCAAGGGATTAGTTCACTTTGGATTGAAGGAATTTGCTGTTTTTATCTTTTCTCCTACTTTGGTATGTGTACGTCAAACAATGTTTTATAGCCTTTTAGTGCATTATACATGAAAATGAAGTTACTAATACAACAGAGCGTGGTACATCACAAACCCACCCTTAAATAGACGATTTGTGAATTGCGTGGTCTTTTTCAAAAATTTTGGCTGATAGATAATAAAAACAAATAATTACCACCAAATCATGGTTGTCCAATAAACTCCATATGCCCTAAAAGGTACTAGTCAAATCTTTGAATTTGAACGTCCCTAAAAGGTAGGATGAGAATCCCTATTTTGTCTGATATATAAGAGGCATCCCCCGCCCACCTTATCTTGCAAATATATAATTCCATCCTTACTATTAATTGTCTTAAAAGATCAAAATTGGAGGATTTCATAGYTGTGGTAAAAAGTCATCCTTGCCACATTGGTACATGTAAGTACAAATAAAAATGCCTTAAATTGCTGCAAGTTTTTGTTTTGTTTTCCTTATATTATTACCGCTTTTCACTTTTTTTTCTGGATAATTCTAGGAAGAAAGGTTACTCGTTAAGCACAAGAGGCATGGTCAATTGGTTTGCATCTTTTGTGGAACGAATTTTCTTTTTGCTTGAAAGATCTCGGCCTGAAGAGATAATTTTTAAAGATACTTCCAGYGTAAGTAATCCTTTGCTCTGCATCGTCCTGCTTAAAAACATTTGTTTCATTTCTATTTTAATCATTTTTATTGTCAGAAAAAAATTAAGACTGTAAGAAATCTTTGTCCAAGTGTTCTGATCCCTTTGCTGAAAAGATGCAAATCAACCAAAGACACAAGACCTGTTCCTACCTTTGATGAGATCTTTGATGTCTTGCTCAGTAAAGTAAGTAACAAATGATATATATTGTTAGATAGTAATCTTAGAGAGAAACTGATGATTTTGATGATTTTGGGTTGCTATGGTAATAMGACCATCATCCACAAGCAGAGGACTCTGATYCACAAGTTTTGTTGCAAAAAGTAGAAYGATCYTCTACTTTCAGCAACAAATTTTTTCAACYTGCAACAAGCCATTTTGTTGTGAGACAASTTGGTACGSGCATACTAAAACRAGCAACATTGCTTTCCAACTTGTTTTGYATCAATGTTGTGAGACAAGTTGGACRAATTTSTTGMTCRTATTACCRTWGTTTTACTGTCTGCTTATAATAATTAGGATTTCCCACCCATGGTCCAAATGACTRCAAACTTCAAATCACATCACCCTGGTGATATTTCAGTCAACAAAGATGAGAAAGTTCTTGTAATATCCAAATCTATGACTAGGTAATTGTATACCAACTTTGGTTTGGCTTTGTACAGTTTAGGCTTGTAGGTTTGACTTTCAATAATGACATGTAATTCATTTTTTCTTCCTTTATGTGAAGTGAACACCATCAGCACTCACATAACTTATGGTTAGGAGAGAGAGAAGATGGAAAGGTTGGCTTGTTTAATGGAAACCTGTCAATTCCAATTAGTGTAACAGGTAACTCCAGTAAATGTATTAATTTKGTAAACATCTTTCATTCATTTCGCATTATTTCATTTATTTTCCAGTTTCTCAATGTACTCGGTATTAATCTTTCATTCACTTCCAATCATTCTGATCTCTTCCCCATTCTTGCAATGTATTTTGTATTATTGGTATTAATCTTTTATTCAATTTTACTTCCTTTTCCATTCTTTTAATGTATTTCATTCAATTCCCATTTTTTCATCACCWTCCCATTTCTTTGATAGGTGACCACTTTMTTTGTCATCTCAAGGATTGCAGTAATTTCCTTTTCGTTGTCTTCCTTTTGGTTCCATTCTTCTTGTTGTTGTACATGCAACATCACATTAAATTTAATGTTTCTTTATCTCTAGAAATACTTACTGAAACTGATGTAACAGATATCAGTTCTGAGGAAGACACACAAGGTAATTCTTTGTCTGTCCGTTGGAAAATTATGGCATTTATTTCACTCTTATAGCAGGCAAATTATACTCTATAATCTGTTAAACTGTCTAGTGCCAGCAGAGATCAAGGCACGTGGGCTGAGAGCTGAGCTTGCTTACCAAAGAGCGTTAAAACATGGCAAAGTAGTTGTGAATCGAGGCCGAATCATGCTTGTTGGTCAAGAAAGAGCTGGTAAAACTAGTCTTAAGAAGTCTCTTCTTGGGCTGCCATTTGATCCTAGAGAAGAGAGTACAGTTGGTGTTGAAGTTGATCCATCTTGCTG